TCAGTTGAATATTTTGATAATATTTCATTATGATATTTTATATTTGTTGTGGAATTGTTGGTCACATGTGAAAGTGTAATGTGTCTGCTAACACGAGAATGTGTTTTGAAATGTTAAAAACATCTTGAATGCTGTTAAAGATAAAGTTGAAATTGTATGACACAGTCCAAGGTAAAAAAGCACGTTTTGTTAAAAATGAGAAAAGTCGGGAGGTTGTATCAAAGCATAGCTCAGTAGCTTAATACATATAAAATACAGAAATGTAGTTTCATTTGTCTGAGTTCAAGGTTTTATTTTTTCCATTTTGAATGACTGAGCTGTCAGTAGTGGAAATATTACCACACATTTTTGCCATGCACAGTATTCTTGGAGTACCAGTGAAAACCATTGTACAAGAATATGGCACACATAAATCAAAGTACCGTAGTATTAGTTCGTTCATATGGCAGTAGCCTAATCTAGCGCTTTTAGTTATTGATACACGATGCTGTACATTTGACTTCTTTCAATTTATTCTTAATACAAACACAAGCTAGACAAATAATCTAGACCTATATGCAAAATGAAACCTGCAATCAATTATCCCCTCATATCCTGTGTTTTCCTCATCCAGCCATGAGCTAGCCTATATGGTTAATGAGGCTTTCTATTTGCATTGTACACCTCTAATGGTTTTCTCTGTGCTTTGACACCTAATGAATGAGAAACCACAAGATGCCTTCTGTTTGCAGATAACTAACCAGTCCAGATAATCATGTGTTTGTTTGTGTACGAATCGGTTTGATCAAATGGGTTTCAAGGCATGCTACAAGGGAATTACTTCATATTTTAGTGAGACGTGAGGGTCTATTAATTTTACATTATCTGGCTGATTATAGTTAATGAGATTTGTACCTGCCACAAAGCACCAGAAACTGGTGGGAGATGAAGAATGGAAAGACAAAGGGAGGATTTCTCTTTTTTTCTGCACTTTGTCTTTATTGGAAAATAAATACACACTTTCTGTATAAATACCATGGCTGTGTAGTCTCTTCTTTAAACTGTACAAGAGGCAGGCAGACAGAGGAACAAAGGCAGCGGGTTGTTGAGGTAAAACAATTGTAAAGGGAATAAAATAAGATAATAAAAATGAATAAATACACAATTCTCGAAAAGTAGACCTACCGTGTAGTGATGTTTCAGCATGCTGTGTTGATGTTAAAACACGAGTGCTTCTGAGGGAATTATTTTGAATGCACCTGCACTCATCTGCAAGTTGGAGAGCTCAAGCAGAAATGTTGACTGTCTTTCAAATGCTGTCAGTCACAACACCAGCAGATATCAGCAGGATGAAGGGCCCCAATCTTTATCTTCTTTACTAGGACTGCCTAGACTTCATGACATGTCACTTATGAAGTCATAAATGCTGTTTTGAAAGCTCATATAGACCTGCATTTGGCACTCTCCAAAAATACACTCCACTGTAGTGTCTCATGACGTTTTTAAAGCATTACCATTAGATTTGCAACCTTCACTGGTGATAGTTAATAAATGTAGAAAATTACTACTTTACTAAACTGTACCACTGTGATTTTTGTGTTTATATACTAGGCTACTATAGTATTATTCATATTTTGTATGGGCTTTTATCGTTATATTTTATTTTGTAATTTTTATTAGATTTTTTTATAATTATCTTAAGCTCTTTTATTATTCGTTTTAGTAATTTTAGTACTTCAGCTTAAACTTAAGTTAATTGCCAAGGCAACATTTCTCATTTTTGTTTTCTAAGTTTTGAAGTTGAAGATTTTCATCTAATATTTGTTTTATTTGCATTTTCCAAATTTTGTTAACAAGGTTACAAACACTGCAAACCTCATTGAAATTGAACAGAAAATAAAACCATACTTTGACCTTCTGAGGTTGGCAATCGACAAATAAGAGCATTCAATTGAAGACTTTAAGGACGAATCCTGAACATGCTATCTTGATTCTGTCAATGTGTTTGGAGACTTGTGAGTAACCATATGTTTATGCATATTTGAAGGTTGGTACAGTCAGACATGCTTTGTTCTTTGATCTGTATTCCTCTCCACCATTGAAAACACAACAGCTCCGCAGCTCCACACGTGTGCTACAGAGATCTGATCTCCATTTGAAGAGCTGCATCATTGGGATGAGATGCTGGTGCAAAAACCCCTCTCTCTCTCCTTGGAAGCCTTTCATACTGATACCTTTGTGCATTCAGGACTTTGCCATGAACGTTCTGCATCCGTGGGACGAGCAATGAAGCAAAGCTTTGACAAAAGAGTACATTTCATTCCTAAGACTGTCAGACAGGTGTGTGCAGAACTGAGATTTCAGGGGATAAATTTGACTGGATAAATGCTTTACTGCATTCAGATGACTGATGAAAGCACAAATATACCCAACTGCAAGAAGTAAAAGAGACGAGGATAAAACAAATAAGCAACAAAACAAACAGGTGATAAAATCATGGATTTGGAGCAGCAAATCCATTACATTCACAGCAAAAAAATGTTTTTCTTACACGGTATTTTTGTCTTGTTTTATAATACAAATATTTAAACATTCCTAAAACAAGACACACTTATTTGAGAAGCAAAATGACTTAAGATATCAAGTCTTGTTTTCTAAAAGGTTATTATATTCCAGTGGGGTAAGAAAAATAATCTTGCTGTCCCTTTGTATTAATATATATATATATATATACCCATTCACTGCAGAGGATCCATTGGTGAGCAAATGATGTAATGCTTAATTTCTCCAAACCTGTTCTGATGAAAAACAAACTCATTTACATCTTAGATGGCCTGAGGGTGAGTAAATTGTCAGCAAATGTTCATTTTAGGATTTAAAGGGGACATATGATGCTGCTAAAAAGAACATTATTTGGTGTAATGAAATGTGTTTATGCGGTTTAAGGTTCAAAAGACACATTATTTTCCACATACTGTACATTATTGTTTCTCTTCTATGCCCCGCCTTTCTGAAACGCGTCGATTTTTACAAAGCTCATCGGTCTGAAAAAGCGAGGTGTGCTCTGATTGGCCAGCTATCCAGTGCGTTGTGATTGGCCAAATTCCTCAAGCATGTGACGGAAATGTTACGCCCCTTACCATACTATGATGCCTGCGGCAACCACATGTGACGACCCCGTGCTCGCTAGCGCAAAGTTGAAGTATTACCTCAGCGACCAGCACGGATCAGCTCCAGGCATGACGAAGCGATATCGTCCTCTTTTGGAAGACCAAACAAAGTAGTTTCTCTTTCACAACGAATCACACAGCGCCTTTCACGACATGGCGGCCACAACAACAATACTACAGCGAGAATAAAAGTTACGCCTTCTTTCTTTGCGTGAACATTTGGGCGGCTATATGCAAATCTTCCCACATTGTGACGTAGACATGTGGGGGCGTGTTAGAACGAGCCATTTTAGGTAGGTGTGGCTGACTCTGAAATTTTATAAAGAATATCTCTTTGGATTTGAGACTTTAGTCTTTGCAACTTTACAGATCTTCTTCATGCACCAAGAGCTTGTAACACTTCAAAGAGAAAGGAAAAATTTAAATAGCATCATATGACCCCTTTAAGAATTTTCTGATATTTGTACTACAAAACAAGACAAATGTAAAGGAAAGTAGGAAAATAATTTTTTGCATCTATAAAAGTTGTTCATTCAGTCCTGCCTGTCTTCCATCTGAGCACCTCAGCTATACAAAGGAAAAGATTTCAGAATGATATTATCAACTTTTTACAAATAATTTACTTAAAATATATAGATATACTATATATACACTGTTCAAATGTCTGAGTCAAGCAACACACTGTAGAGGAGTGAAAATGGTGGCGTATGTGATCTAGGTGGGCTTAAGATGGCTGTCATATCGGAGAGG